GTACACACCAGATGGCACTGCGTCCTTCCACTGCTCCTCTGCGTGTCCCGTTGCCATCTCCTCCAGAGTCCTCTCTTCCTGTTCTCCCTAACCCAGACTCTGACTCTCTTCGTGCTGCCAGTCCTACTGTCACGCGTCTCCTGGCTACTGTTGTCACTGACCCTTCCTTTGAATCCACTGCTGCGTCGGCCCTAGTTGCTGAGCTTGTCGACTTTGCTGCTCGCTGTCGTCTAGACTACGCCGCTAGTCTTGTTGCTGAGTCTGAGTCTGTCTGTCCTCCGTCCGTCGGGGGTGAGTGTGCTCTTAGCACGGACGCCCTTGAGGACAGGCAGGAGGAGTTCCAGTGTTTTGCTGCTGCTTTGCCTCATCTACTGTCCACGCTGATTGCCCCTGAGGGAGACCCGGATGCACCAGACATCCCGACTCCTCGATCGTACGCTGAGGCGATCGAGGGTCCCAACTCCTCTCAGTGGCAGTCAGCCATGGACACAAAGATGGCTTCCTGGAAGTCCACAGGCACCTACGTCGACGAGGTTCCCCCACCTGGAGCGAACATCGTCAGTGGCATGTGGATTTTCAGGGTGAAGTAGCCGCCGGGTTCTCCGCCTGTCTTCAAGGCGCGTTACGTGGCTCGAGGCTTCAGTCAGCGGCAGGGAGTTGACTACTTTCAGACCTTCTCTCCCACCCCGAAGATGACCACTCTTCGGGTGCTGCTGCACATAGCCGCTCAACGCGACTACGAGCTTCACTCTCTTGACTTCAGCACAGCTTTCTTGCAGGGCAGCCTTCACGAGGAGATCTGGCTACGCCGCCCACCTGGCTTCACTGGGTCGTTTCCTCCTGGTACCCAATGGAGTCTCCCGCGGCTAGTCTACGGTCTCCGCCAGGCGCCCCGTAAGTGGCACGACACACTGAGGACTACACTTGCGGCTCTTGGGTTTGCTCCTTCTACAGCCGACCCGTCGCTGTTTCTGCGCACCGACACCTCTCTGCCGCCGTTCTACATCCTCGTGTACGTCGACGACTTGGTCTTTGCCACTGCTGACACTGCTAGACTCGCCCACGTGAAGTCCGAGCCGCAGAAGAGACACACGTGCACAGACCTGGGTGAACTGCGCAGCTACCTTGGCTTGTAGATCACCCGGGATAGAGCACAGCGCACCATTACCCTGATTCAGTCACACATGGTGCAGCATGTCCTTCAGCGCTTCGACTTCACGTACTCCTCGCCTCAGGCCACTCCTCTGTCTACTCGCCACTCGCTCTCAGCTCTGCCTTCGGATGAGTCCGTAGAGCCAAGTGGCCCGTACCCAGAGCTTGTTGGCTGCCTCATGTACCTGATGACCTGCACACGACCTGACCTTGCATACCCTCTTAGCATCTTGGCACGTTATGTTGCTCCTAGTAGACACCGACAAAAGCACATGGCTGCAGCGAAGAGGGTGTTGCGCTACTTGTGCAGTACGTCGGGCTTGGGGCTAGTGCTTGGAGGGCGACGTCGAGTGGTCCTCACAGGTCACGCAGACGCTTCTTGGGCTGACGACCAGGCTACGCAGCGGTCGTCACAGGGTTACACCTTCAGCCTTGGCTCCGGCTCTGTTTCGTGGCGGTCTACCCGCTCGTCCTCTGTTCTCGGCTCCAGCTGTGAGGCTGAGATCTACGCGGGGGCCATGGCTGCACAGGAGCTACACTGGCTCACCTACCTGCTGACTGACCTAGGAGAGCCGCCTCGTTCTCCTCCAGTTCTGTACGTAGACAACAAGGCCATGCTGGCCTTGTGTCGGGAGCACAGACTGGAGCACAGAACGAAGCACATTGCTCTTCGCTACTTCCTTGCTCGTGAGCTGCAGCAGTGTGGTCAGCTGTGCCTTGCTTACGTGGCCTGTGAGGCCAACACTGCTGATGTCTTCACCAAGGCACTTCCGCCTGGTGATCATCAGCGCTTTTGTACGATGCTAGGTCTTGTGCCTACTTGGCCTCACTTGCTCACTTCTTGACCTTGCTTGTACTGTGATCTTTCTATACCTGCACTTGCCTGTTTACCTTTATATATGATCTTGCATGTGAACTGGCCTTGTGGCCTTGCTCTTATGCTCGGATTGTGTGGTGACGTTGTGATCCACCCCGAGCTTGCTTTGCTTTGCTTGACTGGTCTTGTGACCTCTTGTTCTCCCCCACTTTGCCTATGGGGGTCTGTCAAACATTTATCATATCGCTTGTCTAGGCTATAGTGGGGTAGACACTATGGGGTACAGTTTCCTAGGGTTTCCTACTTGTACCCAATCTTGTGCTAGTTCATTCATTCCTCATTTCTTCACATACGAGTCACGAAAACTGCATCCGCCCGAGACAAATTACCCGATACACGACCACGAAATGCTTGCGATCGTGCACGCGTTCAAAGTGTGGCGCTGTTACTTGACCGGCGTAGACGTGATAGTACGGATAGACCATAAATCACTACAGTACCTCCGCGCACAGCCACACCTCAACCCACGACTGATTCGCTGGCTCGACTTTCTCGAGTCCAATTTTCACTACACGGTCATCTACAAAAAGGGAGCCTCAAACATCGCCGACGCACTGACCCGCCCCACTGCCCATATCCATGCAATACTACTCGCCCAGACAAGCCCACTACTGACAGGCCTATTTACCTACGGGTACCAAACGGATCCATTCTTCACAGGAGGAAATTCGCAGCAATTCGCAGCAGCAAAGGTAGTCTATTTCGTAAAAGCCGGGACCGAACGCATCTGGGTGCCTGGGTACACACTGCTACGGGAATTACTATTATAGGAGGCACACGACGGAGTTACCTCAGGGCATTTCGGGGTTGAGAAAACACGGCAGCAACTGCAGCGGTATTATTACTGGCCCGAGATGTTGACCGGCGTACAACGACACGTGGCATCATGTCCCACTTGCCAGCTCATGAAATCATAGCGGAAGCGGCCGGTAGGACAGTTGCAGCGGATACCACCCCTAGAGCGTGCTTGGCAGCAGGTGACGATGGACTTTGTCTCGGGGTTACCGGCAGGGGCGAGTGGGAACGACGCGATCCTGGTCGTCGTCGATCCACTGACGAAAATGGCACATTTCGCAGCCTGCAAAAATTCGATCACAGCCGAAGAAACAGCTCGACTCTTCATCTCCACCATCGTTCGACTGCACGGGATACCATCAGCAATCATCAGCGACCGCGACACGAAATTCACCAGCAACTTCTGGCGGAACCTGTGGCAGCAGTTCGGCACGCGACTACAGTTCAGTTCTTCGTACCACCCCGAAACCGACGGACAGACAGAACGGACAAATCAGACTGTGGAGCAACTCATCCGAGCCACGTGTGACGACCCAACCACCTGGAAACAGCAGCTGTCACTCATTGAATTCGCATACAACAACTCACCATCCACCACGACCCAACAGTCACCTTTTTACTTGAACTACGGACAAGACCCGACAGTACCCATGACCCCGAATCCCGACAACCCGGTGCCACGAGCACAACAATTCGCTGAAATTTTATAAGCAGCACGGACCCGGGCAGCAGACGCAATAAAAAAAATCGAACATCATCGCTAAACGCAACGCTGACCGCCACCGCTGACTTGTCACTTACCAACCTAACGACCTAGTTTTACTCGACACTCAGAACCTCCGCCTGCCCATCACCCCAAAACTCCGCCCCCGATATTGCGGGCTATTTCGCATAAGCCACATGATTACACCCGTCACCGCCCACCTCCTCCTCCCCTCTGACTGGTACGTCAGCCCCTCATTCCACGTCAGCTTGCTTCGCCCTTACGTCCCGTCCACAAGCCAACTCCGACGTAATCGCCCAGCCAGCATGACACGATCGCCGACTGAACCAGTCATCACACCCGAGAAAATTCTGAGCCACAGAGTTTGTGACCCTCCAGGAGCCCGAAGGATCGAGTTCCTGATCCGCTGGAAAGACCGTACACCCACCGAAGACAACTGGGTTCCCATGGACAGAATCGAAAACCACCCCGTCCTCACAGAGTATCTGCGCAGCCGAAACTTCAGAGATGTACACGCGCTTTCGTAACGAGGCCCTCCTTAGGGGGGGGGTAGTGTAAGGAAAATTCCTTTTCCTTACTTCGCGTCCCCGCTCAGCGCGTACACCATTGTAGCACCACAGTCAACACCGTTACCACTCGCAACCCTCGCATCGACAAATCCCCCCGCCACCTTCGCACATCGCATCCCGACCTCACGGCTCGGCGGGTAACCCGCGCTCCGGGCCTCCGCTTCGACATTTTCCCTAACCTCAGTCCCAGGCCCGTCGCGCGACAACCACAGTCCATTACCGTTACCACTGTAGTTTCGCTATATATTCTTTGCTCATGCCTTCGCTCGTTATACTCTTGCTTAGATAGTGCAATTCTCGCTCGCTCACTCAATTGCACTCGTAACAGATTTCGACGATTGATTGTGCAATATTGATCATTCACCGCATGGAAATCTGCTGCTGCTACAGAATAAACCGTTTTAAACCCTTTTAAAACACGATCCGCGTGTTGGGAGTGTCTGCGTCCTTAGGTCGAGACTGTTTCGGCGGTTTACGGTCTGCTGTCCAGCTGCGCTCCAATTTCCACTAGCCTTTAGCTCTTTTTACCGTCTGAGCCGCTATCCAGTTAGCTCGCGCCATGGCGGAGGTGAAAGTATCAGAGATTAAAGACCTAACGCGCGTCGAGCGAATTGGCGCGCACTCGCACATTCGCGGGCTGGGGTTAGACGACACATTAGAAGCGCGGGGCGTGTCGCAGGGGATGGTCGGGCAGGAAAAGGCTCGTCGGGCAGCTGGAATTATCCTGGCGATGATCAAGGAAGGAAAAATTGCAGGCCAGGGAATTTTGTTAGCCGGGCAGCCCGGATCTGGGAAAACGGCGATCGCGATGGGGATGGCGAAGGCGCTCGGCGAGGAGACGCCTTTCGCGATGATGGCGGGCAGCGAAATATTTTCGCTCGAGATGTCGAAGACCGAAGCGCTCACCCAGGTGCTCGCTAGCCCGAGCGCTTTCGCTCTTTGCGGGGGGACCGGGGGACGAGGGGGATGGGGACAAGAGGGGGGGGGGGTTGGGGAAAGGTGTGGGGGATGGGAAGAAAAATGTGAAGGGGAGGAGGAAGGTGCGGGTTCTGGGGTGCTGAATACAAAAGAGCTGTGCTAGGAGCGGATCGGCCTTTAACGAGGATGATCTCCTCGCGGTTCGTGTCCCTCCGCATTCCCTGCGCCATCTGATGCGCATTTCCCCCCCACCCGCCCCCCGCGCATCTCCCCGCTAGGATAGACGAGGCATAGGGGCGTGATCAGGAATGAGGCTGCATTGGCCTTTAACAAGGGCTATTTCCTTAGCTGTATCCGTCCATCTGCGTTCCCTTCGCCGTCGGATGCGCATCTCACCTTGACGCAATCCTCCCCTCAAACCCCCTCCATCCCTCCTTTAACCCCTTCTCATCCGCACTCCCCAAAACCGCAGACCCTTTCTAAACCCCTGATCCCTCCCCCCCACTGTAAACTCTGAGGGCTTGACCCGCGGTGCCCCATTGTTCTTCCTTTCTGGTCCCTCTCTTCCACCATACTCTCTCAAAACCCTGAAGCCCACCTTCACAACTACCAACATCACAAGGCCATTGCCGTGCGATAAAGCTTGGAGATCCGAATTGACCGCCCGTCCACCACCCTCCTCTCCCTCTCCTGCTCCAGTCTTTTTCCCTGACAGGCGTTTCGCAAAGAAACTGGTGTGCGAATTTGAAGGCAAAGTGGTGGGGAATCAGATCGGCTGACGGTTCATCTCTCTCCCCCCTCTCCCTCCCTGCCTCTTTCCTCCATCGCACTCCTTTCCTCCTAACTCCAATTTCTCCCCCAGCTCAGGCGTTTCGCAAGGCAATTGGTGTGCGGATCAAGGAGGAAATCGAGATAAGCGAAGGCGAGGGGGTGGAAATATAAATCGACTGCTTTGCCACCGCCTCACCCGCACTCTCTCCCTCACCCTCACCCTTTCCTCTCATGCCCCTGTCTATTTCCCAAAACACCAGGCGTTTCGCAAGGCAATAGGTGTGAGGATCAAAGAGGAGACGGAAATCATCGAAGGGGAGGTAGTCGAAATCCAAATCGACCGACCAGCCACGGCCGGAGCCGCGGCCAAAACGGGAAAGCTCACGCTCAAGACGACCGACATGGAAACAATCTACGAGCTGGGAGTGAAGATGATCGACTCTCTCGTGCGCGAAAAGGTCCAAAGCGGCGACGTGATAGCCATCGACAAGGCTACCGGGCGGGTGACCAAGCTCGGGAGGAGCTTCACGCGGTCGAGAGAGTACGATGCTGCGGGGCCGGCGACGCGGTTTGTTCAGTGCCCGGATGGGGAGTTGCAGCGGCGCAAGGAGGTGGTGCACGTGGTGTCGCTGCACGAGGTGGATGTGATAAACAGCCGCACGCAGGGGTTCCTGGCGCTGTTCACGGGGGATACGGGGGAGATCCGGGCGGAGGTGCGGGAGCAGATCGACAGCAAGGTGCAAGAGTGGCGGGAGGAGGGCAAGGCGGAGATTGTACCGGGGGTGCTGTTTATTGACGAGGTGAGATTTGTGTGTCTCAGGCAGTGTGGGCGCTGTTGGTAACCAGGCGGTGTAACAGGGCGTGATACTTGGGTGTAAATCAAGGGCTCTATTGATACCAAGGTGCAAAAGTAAGGAGAGGAGGGCAAGGCGGAAATCGTGCCTGGCGTGCTGTTCATTGATGAGGTGAGACTTGGATTGGATGCACTGGTGAGACTGGTGAAGGGGCAGGGGGAGAGGGAGACAAGGGCTCACAGGCGCATGGGCACAAGTGGAAAGAAGAGGGCAAGGCGGAGATTGTCCCTGGCGTGCTGTTCTTGGACGAGGTGAGGCTTGGTTGCACTGAGTGAGGACCCGTGGGACCTCACATTCGTGCATCGCTGTTCATTGACGAGGCGATGCTTGGGCGTATTTGTCGGTGTGGGCGCTGGTTGGTAGTCTGTGACTCTGTTCGCACGAATTCTGAGGTGCAGGAGACAAGCGGTTAGAGGCACATGGGCACAAGTGGAGAGAGGAGGGCAAGGCGGAAGTGGTCCCTGGGATGCGGTTCATCCACGAGGTGAGAATAACCCAAAATTGTCCCACTGAGGAGGACAGGAGGTAGTGCATTGTGAGCCTTGCAAGTTCCGGGCTGGTCAGCAGGTGCAGGAGGTGCGAAAGTGGAGAGAACCCCACCTGTCTTGGCCTATCTCCACCGCTCTCCAGCCCTTTCTACCCAGGTGCACATGCTGGACATCGAGTGCTTCTCCTTCCTCAACAGAGTCCTGGAACACGAGATGGCGCCCATACTGGTCGTGGTGGTCGCCACCAACCAATTCTCCAACCTCCACCCCTCTACACCCCTTTCCACCCCTCTCCACCCCTTGCCACCCACCTTGTCAGAATCAGCAATCAGAAAGAGAAATTAACAAAGGAGGATTTGCACTAGCAGCAGTTGGCATACATATAAGAAACCCTAATTGGGTTGTACTCGCTATAGAGTACCCCACTGCAGGCTAGACAATTATAACATTCTGACACACCCCCATAGCCAAAGTGAGATGTAATCAGCACAATGAGCAAGCATAACAATAGTTCACAATTATAAGCAAAGCTAGATGCGATCACAGAGGGCAAGTGAGGAGGAGGAATTGTGAAGGGAGAGAAGATGGGAGACGACGGCTGAAGCTGCAGACACACGGACAACAGGAGGACTGGCACAGTGGCTACCGGCGGCAAGTGCCCCGGACTACGGGGATTAACAGGCCCCGCGGCTACGACGAGCGGTAGGAGCAACGGACCCACGGGCGGCCGGCACAGCAAGGCTCTCTGGGCTACCGAGAGCACAACGACTCCGGACTACAGGCGCTGCGAACGACACGACGGCGGCCTCCTGTCAGCCTCCCCAAACAATCCCACCTCTTTTCCACACACCCCCTGCTGCACCCCTAGCTCCACTCCCCCGTCACCCCCTTTAAACCCTAAACCCTCGGCTCCCACACACCCACCCTCCTCAGCGGCAGCTGCAGCAGTGGGAGACGGAGGAGGAGGAGCTGCAAGTTACCCACACCGGTCACCCCCATGCCCGCCACCCCAAAACCCTAACGCAGGCAGGAGCGCGGGAAACAGCAGGGGCGGTTCACAGAGGGAAAGGGAGGCGGCGGGGTGTCTCCTGGGCGCCACGAAAAAGCAGGGCGCGGGCCCCCCGAGGGCGCCACGGCGGGTGACGGGAGGGGGGCCGCGCACGGGCCCCCGAGGGAGGCTCGACGGGCGACGGAAGGGGCCGCGCGCGGGCCCCAAAGGCGCCGCGACGAGTCGACGGGAGAGGGCAGCGCGCGGGCCCCCAAGGCGCCGCGACGAGGCGACGAGAGGGGGGCGACGCGCGGGCCCCCAAGGTGCCGCGACGAGGCGACGGGAAAGGGGGGCCGCGCGGGCCCCCAAGGCGCCGTGACGAGGCGACGGGAGGGGCCGGCGCGCGGGCCCCCAGGGCGCCGCGACGAGGCGACGGGAGGAGGACGACGGGGGGCAGCGCGCATGTCCCCGGGGGCGCCACGACGGGCAGGAAACCGCCGCACGCCCCGAGCGCACGGCAGGATGAAAAACGCCGCGCGCTCTGAGCGCGCGGAAGGAAGATAGGGTCGCGCGCCCGGGGCGCGCGACAGCAGTAGAGCAGCGGAAGCATCGGGTGGGGCCCACCCACATGATCAACCCAGGAGGGTCGACCTGGTCTGATAGCATGTCAGAATCAGCAGTTAGAAGGAGAAATTAACAAAGGAGGATTTGCACTAGCAGCAGTTGGCGTACATATAGGAAACCCTAATTGGGTTGTACTCGCTATAGAGTACCCCACTGGAGGCTAGACAATTATAACGTTCTGACACACCTTGCTCCACCCCTCACCACCCCTTGCAACCCTGCTCCATCCCTCTCCATCCAGGTGCACAAGCTGGACACTGAGTGCTGCTCCTACCTTGACCGCGCTCTCTAGAACGAGATGGCGCCCATACTGGTCGTGGTGGTGGTCGCCAACCAATCCTCGTACCTTTACCCCTCTTCAACCCTCTCCACCCCTCTCCACTGCTCCCCACCCGTCTCCAACCTTCTCCACCGCTCTCCACCCCCCTCCATACAGGTGCACATGCTGGACATCGAGTGCTTCTCCTTCCTCAACAGAGCCCTGGAAAACGAGATGGCGCCCATACTGGTCGTGGCGACCAATCGGGGCATCACCACGATCCGAGGAACCAACTACAAGGCGCCACATGGCATTCCGCTGGATTTTCTCGACCGCCTGCTTATCATCAGCACAGAGGTGAGCTGAGCTGGTGGAATAATCTTGTACGTGTGTGTGCTGTACTACCATTGTGTTTGCTCTCGTAAGGTGCCACCACATGGCGTTCCGATGGATTTCCGTGATCGCTTGCTCATCAGCAGCAGCACAGAGGTGAGGCAAGATGGTGGAATACTCTTGTGGGCAAAGGTGAGGCACGTGCTTATATTGCGTCTGCACTCTTCTTGAGGCGCCACATGGCATTCTGCTTGACTTCCTCGACCGCCTGCTCAATTTTGAGAAACGATTTTTGAAATCCGATGTTGAGAATCGAGTGTAAGATAAGCCTAAGGAGCTCAGTATTTGGAAGTATTTAAGGTTGTCAGACGCTTTGAGTTCAGTATGAATCGTTCTTACTGATCACTTTGTCTCACTTATCAAGCTGAGTGTTAACCAGGTTGTAGTAAGCCAAGTAGGCGCACTTCCAGTTCCCTCTGTTGCTGCTTCCTTTCTTCAACCTTCCCTCGCCTCTTGCAACAGTTCAGAAGCTTTCTCATATCAGCACTCTGAAACCTCCTTCTTCCCCACCCGGCCCATCCCAGCCGTACAAGGTATACTCTAATGTTTGGAGGAGTCAGTAGACACGTCTCCTGACGCTTTGTGCCCCTCCTTCCCTCCTCCCTCAGCCGTACAAGGAAGAGCAGATCATCAAGATAAGATGCCTGGAGGTGACAGCAGACTCGTCCCCTCACGCCCTCTGCCTGGAGGTGACAGCAGACTCGTCCCCTCACGCCCTCTGCTCCTCCTTCCTTCCTTTCCCCCCCTCACTTTTCCCCTCCTTGCTTCCCAGCCACACAAGGAGGAGGAGACAAAGGAGATCATCATGATTGGTTGCCTGGAAGAGACAGTAGACACGCCCCCTGACTCCCTGAAATCCTCAATTCCTTCCTGTTCCCGCCTCACTTCTTCACCTCCCGCCTCCCCCAGCCGCACAGGGAGGAGGAGGTGAAGGAAATAATTAAGATCAGATGCTTAGAGGAGGCGGTAGACACATCACATGACCCCCAATCCCCCTCTCTTCCCTTCCTCCCGTCCTTCCCCTCCCCGCCCCATCCACACCTATCCTTACCATTCATTCCTCACCCATACGAGGAAGAATGATTTAAGGAGATAATCAAGATACAATGCCTACAGGAGGCAGTAGACACTTCCCCTGACGCCCTCGACCTGCTCTCCCTTTGACCTCTCCTCGCCCCTCGTTCCCTTCTCCCTCAGCCATACAAAGAAGAGGAGATCAAAGAGATTATAAAAATCCGATGCCTAGAGGAGGCAGTAGACACGTCCCCTGACGCCCTCGACCTGCTCTCCAAAATCGGTGTCGAGACTTCCCTCCGATACGCCATCCACCTTATCACCTCGGCTCATCTGGCGGCCACTAGGAGACGAAAAGGGGGCAGCGGAGGGGGAGGGGGGGTGGTGGTGGAAGTGGAGGATGTGAGCAGGGTGTACACTCTCTTTGCGGACGTGAAACGGTCGACGCAGTTTCTTGTGGAGTATGGCGAGCAGTTTTTGTTTAATGAGCAAGACGCTGTCATGTCTGGATGATTCGGGTAAATATAAAATGGACTTGCGGATGAGATCTTATATGCAAATCATACGGATTTTTCTTGTACACCCTGTTCGAGATGTACGGCACAAAATATCAGCTTTTTTGTGTAGTACAATACGTGTTTTTCCGTAGAAGTATCATGTGTCAGTGAGTACAACACGCAAACGAGTTGACTTATAGCGGAACTTAACACAACACAAATCTGGCCATTTAGCACTACAACTACAGTATCTCACGGGACCGCCGTTGCACGATGAAGTTCTCAAGAGTAGAACGCACCGGAATGGTGAGTTTAGGAAACAAGGCATTAGAAATACGGTAGGCAACCCTAACTGTGTTATACTCACTACAGCCTATCACAAATATCAACATACGCTGAGCGGCACTAGAACAAGCAGGGTGAACAAACGGTCACAAGACCAGTCAGCAAGAAGCAAAACAAGCTCAGGGTGGATCTCAAGGACACCAAACAAATGTCAAATTGCAACTGTATCTCTAAGCTACAGTAGGGTCACTCCTTAGTGAGTGCAACACTTAAGGGTTAGCTTTCCCCTACTTGTACTCACCTCTTGCCTAGTTCAATCATTCACTCCTAGTTCTATTCTTGACATGTTATCAGAGTAGGAACCATTCCTACATGGGCCCACCGTTCTGCCTAGTGGTAGCGCCACGCCCTACAAAGTAGCCAGCGCGCTGGCGCCCCTAGCTCTCATTGTTGCGACCCTTGCAGCCCGTGCGCTGCCCCTGCGACCGCGCTGCCCCTGCAGCCGTGCTCGCCCCTGCTACCGTGCTGCCCCTGCAGCCGCGCCTGCCCCTGTGGCCCGCGCGCTGCCCCATGCAGCCCGTACGTCGCTCCTGCAGCCTGTACGTCGCCCCTGCAGCCCGTTCACGCTGGCCCTGCAGCCCGTACGTCGCTCTTGCAGCCCGTACGTTGCTCCTGCAGCCCGTACGTCGCCCCTGCAGCCCATTCACGCTGCCCCATGCAGCCCGTACGTCGCTCATGCAGCCCGTACGTCGCTCCTGCAGCCCGTACGTCGCCCCTGCAGCCCGTTCACGCTACCCCTACAGCCCCTTCACGCTGCCCCTGCAGCCGCGCGTCGCCTCTGCAGCCTGTCCGCGCGGCCCCTGCAGCCCGCGCGTCGCCCCTGGAGCCCGCGCGCCGCCTCTGCAGCCCGTCCTCGCGGCCCCTGCAGCCCACGCGTCGCCCCTGGAGCCCGCGCGCCGCCTCTGCAGCCCGTCCGCGCGGCCCCTGCAGCCCGCGCGTCGTCTTTTAAGCCCGCGCGCCGCCTCTGCGGCCCGTTCGCGCCGCCCCTACAGCTTGCGCGCGGACCTGCCGAGCCGCGCGCCGCCACTGCAGCCCGTACGAGCTGCCCTTGCAGCGCGCGCGGCGCCCCTGCAGCCCGCGCGTCGCCCCTGCAGCCCGCACACCGCCCGTGGAGCCCGTGCGTCCTACCTCTGCAGCCCGCGCGCCACTCTGCCGAGCCGCGCCGCCCAGCCCGAGCCGCGCCGCCCACGCCAACCCGAGCCGCCCTGCTACTCGGTCTACTGCTACAGCTCAGTCTACTACTGCTGCTGCTTCTTCTGGGTCTGCTGCTGCTGCCCGAGCCGCCTTGCTACTGCTGCTGCTTGGTCTACTGCTACTGTTGGAGGGAGTACTGCTGGGAGTGGTGGAGGTGCGGCCTCCCAGCCCCACCGAACCGCCCTGCTGCTCTTACTACTGTTGCTGCTGCTACTCATGCTACTGGGAGTGCAGGAGGTGCTGCTGGCGCTGTAGGAGTTGGAGGTGTTGGACCTACTCCAGCAGCGGGCACTGCTTCTCTCGGATGACCCCACCCCGCGGCAGCTTCGTGAGTGGGTTATTCAGCGAGGTCGTCCTGGTGGTGGAGGTTATCGTTCTGTTAGGACTGCTGCTCTTGGTGTTAGTGAGTCTGCTGCCACTCCAGGTGTTAGTGAGTCTGCTGCCACTCCAGGTGCTAGTGAGTCTGCTGCCGCTCCAGGTGTTAGTGAGTCTGCTGCAGCTCTAGGTGCCCGTGAGTCTACCAACGCTCTAGGTGCTATTGCGTCTACTACCACAGGTCCTGCCTCAGCTGAGGACTTGCACACTTTCATGCTTGACTCAGGCGCGTCACGTTGCTCCACCTCCCCACGTTCTCGACGAACTTGGTGAGCAACGCTGCCATTCAAGATGTCTGGGTTGATACCTGTATTCCTGGAGGGCAGCGTGTGGCGATCTGTACATGCTCCCAGACTGGCCGTCACCTGGCTACATTCACTCGACAGCCTGGGTCTAGTCTGTACACACTGACCACTGCGCTGCAGAGGTGGCTGAGTCAGGTCAGGTAGCTGCGTCGAGTCAAGCGTCTGCGTCACGGCAGTTAGGTGCGTCTTGCTCATGCAGACTACTCACGCACGAGACTCAGCGCTGGCACCACCGTCTTGGTCACCCCTCCCTGCAGCGTCTGCGCGGCATGCACTCCCAGCTCCTGGTCTCTGGCCTCCCTGAGACCCTACCCCCCATCCCGCGCTCACTTGCGCCGCCGTGCCTTCCTTGCGTCGAGGGGCGGCAGCGCGCCGCTCCTCACTCCTCCGAGTTTCCTCTGACCACTGCTCCTTTGCAGACTCTCCACCTGGACGTGTGGGGCCTGGCCCCCGTCGGTGGAACGGACCAGGAGTGCTACTTCCTGCTGGTTGTTGACAACTACACACGCTACCATAGTCTTCCCCTTGCGTCGCAAGGCGGACGTCAGCGGTGTTTTGATCCCCTGGATCTGTGCTACTTGTCTCCAGCTACACGAGCGCTTTCAGCAGGACTTCCCAGTCATGCGTCTGCACTCTGACAGGGGTGGTGAGTTCTCTTCTGGCGTCCTTGAGACGTTCTGCCAGGATGAGGGCATCGCCAAGTCGTTCACGCTTCCGGCCTCTCCGCAGCAAAATGGGATCGCTGAGCGTCGCATTGGCCTGATCATGGAGGTTACTCGTACCTCCATGATCCATGCGACTGCTCCCCATTTCTTGTGGCCGTTTGCGGTCCGATACGCCACGCATCAGCTCAACCTCTGGCCTAATGTCTTTGCTCCAGAGACCTCGCCCACACTTCGTTGGACGGGACAGCCTAGTGATGTGTCGTCGTTTCGGGTCAAGGGCGCGCTCTCCCTTGTCGCGATACCAAAGCAAACAAGCTCTCTCCTCGCACTCTCCGCTGTGTCTTCCTGGGCTTCCCTACCGACGCCCCGCCCTGACAGTTCTACCACCCTGCCTCGTGTCGTGTTCTGTCCTCTCAGGACGTCACCTTCGACGAGTCGGTCTGTTACTACCGACTTCACCCGCACGCGTCCCACCTGGTCCCCCTTGCACCCCTCTTCCTGGTACTAGTCCCCCCCCCAGTAGACCCCCTCCCCCCACAGGGTCCTGCTCCCTCAGGTATGTCCCAGGTAGACCCACCCCCCTTGGATGAGCCAGTTGAGATCTCTTCTGACTCCTCTGACTCACCTGAGGGGGGTGACGCCATCACCAACGACATGTCGACCACTCGCCACACTACTCGCTTGGCGACCCCCCCGGGTTTCCCGCCACGGCCGTCTTCGCCGCCTCCACAGCCTGCTGCTATGGACTGTGGAGCGGAGATTACTGGAGCTGGCGCTGGGGGTGGTGAGTCTGGGGGTGCCCGCTCTCCTTGTCTGGCTACCCCCCCGGGGATCCCCCCTCTGCCGTCTTCGCCGCCTGTACAGCCTACTGCTGTGGACACTGGAGCAGAGACTGAGGGTGCTGGGACTGAGGTGTCGGAACATTATATAGCTTATACATTTGTGTAGGCTGTAGTGGTGTATCCCATAGGGGGTACAACCCAATTAGGGTTAGTACTTGTACCCACTTCTTTCATATTCCATTCATTCTCGTTTCTTCTCATGGTATCGAGCAGGTTCCCTCGTGGGAACTGTTCCTAGGGCCCACCAAGTCGAAACTTTTTTTCCTGCCCGGAGCGCGCTCCGCTTAGGCCCGAGTCGCGCCTCGTGTGCCCTCTACCGTCGCGCCCTTCCTAGGCCTCCTTTGGCCCCGTCGCGTCGCTCCTAGCGGCCTCCCTCTTGCCGCCCTTACTCGGCCGGTCGCCGCCCTTCGCGGCCCGTAGCCGCCCTACGCGGCCCGTCGCCGCCCTTACTAGGCCCGTCGCCACCCTTACGCGGCCCGCTGCCGCCCTTACTAGGCCCGTCGCCGCCCTTACGCGGCCCGTCGCCGCCCTAACGGCCCGACGCCACCCTTACTCGGCCCGTCGCCGCCCTTACGCGGCCCGTCGCCGCCCTTTCGCGGCCCGTCGCCGCCCTACGCGGCCCGCTGCCGCCCTTACTCTGCCCGTCGCGGCCCGTCGCCGCCCTTCCGCGGCCCGTCACCGCCCTTACGCGGCCCGTTGCCGCCCTTCCCGGCCCGTCGCCGCCCTTCGCAGCTCGGCGCCGCCTTTCCCGGCCCTTCGCGCCGCCCTCACGGCTCGGCGCCGTCCTCTTACGCCCCGCCGTCGCCGCCCATCGGCTCAGCCCACCGCCCTTGCGGCCCCACGAACCGCCGGTCGGCCCACCGTGCGCCACCCTACCCGGCCCCGGTGCCTCCTCCTCCGACCCCGCAGCCGCCCCACCTGGCCCCTCAAGCCGTCATCACGGAGGCAAGAGCCGCCGCAGCCGAGCCCCCGGAGCCGCTGAGCCGCCCAGCAGTCGAGCCGCCGAGCCGCCGAGCCGCCGAGCAGCCGAGCCGCCCAGCAGCCGAGCCGCCGAGCCGCCCTACAGCCGAGTCGCCCGCACTTCTGAGCCGCCCGAGCAGCCCTGTCCGGTAAGTGCGGCGCCTTTGTCACTGCACTGCCCTTACCCTACTGTTCGCGCTGCTAGTCTACGGCTGTTATGGCTACCCCTAGTGTCCTCGCTTTTGACGCTGAGGGTCGGGCCATTGACTTTGACGTCTGGGTAGATGACCTGCAGCTTTTCCTCCACTGCGATAGGGCACACGGTCTCTCCCTCTTTGACCTCACCTCTAGTGCCTCTCCTGCTCCTGCTGCTGATGCTGACGCCACTAATCGTTCACAAAGGGCCACGTGAGATGCTGCTGCACGTCTTGCTGTGCGTCGCCACCTGCCTACCTCTAAGCGTGCGCACTTTAGTCAGTACAAGAGTGCTCAGACCTTGTACGACGCTGTAGTTGCACGCTACTCCTCCCCTGCCACTGCTGCACTGAGCCGTCTCATGCTACCGTACCTCTTCCCTGACCTTGCTGCCTTTCCCACAGTCGCTGACCTCATTACGCACCTCCGCACTAGTGACACTCGCTACCGCGCTGCGCTTCATGCTGATTTCTGCGCCAAGAACCCCCCCCATGTATATCACCCTCTACTACATAGTCACTCGGCTCCATGACTCCCTTCGCGTAGTCGAGACCACTTCCTCTCAGTGTGCCCCACCACTCTCACCGTTGACCTCCTCGAGAAGTCCCTTCTAGCAGCGGAGAAGAGCACAGTCGCTGTAGGAGCCTCTCGTGGTGACCCCCGCACCCCCGTCTTTGAGGGGTGTTCTCCCTCCCCCCTCTTGCCCTCTGTTGCTTCTGCTGCTGCGGCCGACCTCGTTGGTTTTGAGTCGGTCGGTGCTGCGCTTGCCCCTTCGGGGAAGCGCCGCACAGACAAGGGCAAGGGGGGCAAGGGCGCTGGAGGAGCGGGAGGAGGCGGTGGAGGTGGCGGTGGAGCCGGCGGAGGGAGTGGGGGTGGTGGTGGCGGTGGGAGTGGTGGCGGGGGTGGGGGTGGCGACGGCGGTGGTGGATGCGGAGGCGGAGGCGGTGGTGGCGGAGGGAGCGGAGGCGGCGGTGGTGGCGGAGGCGGCGGAGGTGGCGGTGGAGCAGGTCATGGTTCTGCGCAAAGGAGTGGCTCAGGTGGTGGTCCGCGCCAGCAGCAGCAGCGCGGTCGTGAGACCCTGTCCCCTCAGCAGCTCCGTGAGTGGTACAGTGCACGCCAGCGGGGTGGAGGTTTTGGTCTGTGCACCTACGTCCTGCGCACCGGCGACCCTGCGGGTGAGTAGTGTGGGGGTGCGCACTCCACCCAGCGCTGCTTTGGCCGCCTGACGGACGCGTGGCGTCACTAGTTTCCTGAGGCCACAGAGATCCCTCGCTGGGGCGAGCTGTCTAGGGCGGGGGTTGCTATCTTTGACCTTGACTTTGATGCTATTCTTTCTGCCATGTATGCTGTGACTATTAGTGATGAGGGTGACTGTTACCGGTGTTTCCCGCCCGATCCGGGCATTGCGACTGCTGCTCTAGGTACTGGTGAGGCTGCTGCCCTAGGTGCTTGCGAGGCTGCTGCTCTAGGTGCTAGTGCGTCGGCTTCCTCAGGTACAGGTGAGTCTGCGCTCTCAGGTACTGCGTCGGCTTCGGCCTACCTCACCTTCACCCTTGACTCTGGGGCTTCTCGCTCCTTCTTTCGAGACCACACCACAGTCACGCCGCTTGGTCGGCCGGTTGCGGTGTCTCTGGCTGACCACTCTGGGGGTCCTGTCCTGGCCCACTTCTCCACAGTCCTCTCGTGTCCCGCGGCTCCCTCTGGCACCCTGTCTGGTCTTTACCTCCCCTCGTTCTCGACGAACTTGGTGAGTGGTGCCGACCTACAGGATGGGGGAGTGCACCAGTTCACTCCTGCAAGTCAGCGGGTGACGCACTTTTGAACAAGAATGAATGAACTAACAGTGAAATGAGTACAAGTATGAAAACCTAGAAATGTGTACCCCCTATAGGCTAACCCACTGTAGCCTAAACAACTACAACAACACATATAATGTTTGACACACCCCCACAGGCGAAGTGGGGGAGAACTAGGGGTCACAAGATTAGTCAAGTAAAGCAAAGCAAAGCAAAGCAAGCTCAGGGTGGATCACAACGTCACCACACAATCCGAGCACAAGTTCAAGGCCACAAGGCCAGTTCACATGCATGAGTACATATATATACAAGACTAAACAAGCAAGAGCAGTAATATATATATGTAACAGTACAAAGAGGGTCAAGAGGAGAGCAAGTGAGGCAAGACAGACACAAGACCCAGCTGGGTACAGCAGCGCTGATGATCACAAGGCGGAAGTGCCTTGGTGAAGACATCAGCAGTGTTGGCCTAAGAGGCCACGTACGCAAGTCGCAACTGACCACGCTGCTGAAGCTCACGAGCAAGGAAGTAGCGGAGAGCAATGTGCTTTGTTCTGTGCTCCAGTCTCTGCTCTCGACACAAGGCCAGCATGACCTTGTTGTCGACGTACAGGACTGAAGGAGAACGAGGCGGCTCTCCAAGGTCGGTCAGCAGGTAGGTGAGCCAGCAAAGCTCCTGTGCACCCATGGCCCCTGCGTAGATCTCAGCCTCACAACTGAAGCCGAGAACAGAAGACGAGCGAGTAGCCCGCCACGAAACAAAGCCGGAACCAAGGCTGAAGGTGTAACCCTGTGATGACCACTGCGTAGCCTGGTCGTCAGCCCAAGAAGCGTCTGCGTGTCCAGTGAGGACCACTGGACACCGCCCTCCAAGCACTAGCCCCATGCCCGACGTACTGCACAAGTAGCGCAACACCCTCTTCGCTGCAGCCATGTGCTCTGGTCGGTGTCTCCCAGGAGCAACATAGCGTGCAAGAATGCTAAGAGGGTATGCAAGGTCAGGTCGTGTGCAGGTCATCAGGTACATGAGACAGCCAACAAGCTCTGGGTACGGGGCACTCGACTCTACGGACTCATCCGAAGGCAGAGCTGAGAGCGAGTGGCGAGTAGGCAGAGGAGTGGCCTGAGGCGAGGATTACGTGAAGCCGAAGCGCTGAAGGACCTGCTGCACCATGTGTGACTGAGTCAGGGTAATGGTGCGGCGTGCTCTGTCCCGAGTGATCTGCAAGCCAAGGTAGCTGCGCAGTTCACCCAGGTCAGTGCACGTGTGTCTCTTCTGCAGCTCGGACTTCACGTAGGCGAGTCCAGTAGTGTCAGCTGTGGCAAAGACCAAGTCGTCGACGTACACGAGGATGTAGAACGGCGGCAGAGAGGTGTCGGTGCGCAGAAACAGCGACGGGTCGGCAGTAGAAGGAGCAAACCCAAGAGCCGCAAGCGTAGTCCTCAGTGTGTTGTGCCACTCACGTGGCGCCTGGCGGAGACCGTAGACTGGACGCCGGAGACTCCACTGGGTACCAGGAGGGAAAGACCCAGTGAAGCCAGCTGGGCGGCGCAGCCAGATCTCCTCGTGCAGGCTGCCCTGCAAGAAAGCTGTGCTGAAGTCGAGAGAGTGCAGCTCGTAGTCCCGGTGAGCAGCAACGTGCAGCAGTACCCGAAGAGTGGTCATCTTCGGGGTGGGGGAGAAGGTCTCCTTGAAGACAGGCGGAGAACCCGGCGGCCGCTTCACCCTGAAAATCCACATGCCACTGACGATGTTCGCCCCAGGAGGGGGGACAGCGTCAACGTAGGTGCCTGTGGACTTCCAAGAAGCCATCTCTGCATCCATAGCTGCCTGCCACTGAGAGGAGTAGGGACCCTCTATCGCCTCCGCGTAAGAGCGCGGAGTCGGGATGTCAAGTGCATCCGGGTCTCCCTCAGGGGTAAGCAGTACGGACACGAGACGAGGTGAAGCAGCGGCCAAGCACTGGAACTCCTCCTGCCTGTCCTCAAGGACGTCCGTGCCAAGGGCACACTCACCCCCGACGGACGGAGGACAGACAGACTCAAACTCAGCGACAAGACTCGTAGCGTAGTCTAGGCAACAGCGAGCAGCAAAGTCGACGAGCTCAGCAAGTAGGGCAGACGCAGCAGAAGACTCGAAAGAAGGGTCAGTGACTGCAGTAGCAAGGAGACGCGTGACAGTAGGACTGGCAGCACGAAGAGAGTCCGACGCAGGGTCGGCGAGAGCAGGAAGAGTGGACGCAGGAGGAGAAGGCAAAGGGGCACGCAGAGGAGCAGTAGACGGACGTAGAGACATCCGGTGCGTGCCAGGGGCAGGAGGAGGACGCTGGCGCGAACTACGAGCACTAGCGCTAGCAGGACTGACAGGCGACGCAGGACGAGACGTAGACTCACGACGCTCAGTAAGACCGCCAGTAGGACCAGTGTAAGGAGAAGGAGCAGGTAGTGGGGAGGCCGGCTGCAACTGTAAGTGTGACGGGACAGGCTGTGAACACGCTAAGGGAGGAGGACCAGGAGGAGGCGAGAGACCAAGAACCTGCTGAAGGAGTGGAACGAAGTACGGCTGAGGGCGCGCGGTGAGGCCAGACACAGCAGGGACAACACCTTTACCCCCAGCGGCAGTACCAGAACCAGCAGCAGCTCCAACGCCCAGGTCCTAAGTACTAGCCTCAGCACCAACGCCCGGGTCCTCAGCACCAGCAGTGGCTCCAACACCAGGGTCCACAGCATCTGCCGCAGCTCCAACGCCCGGGTCCTCAGCACCAGCAGGGACTCCAACACCAGGATCCACAGCACCAGCCGCAGCTCCAACGCCCGGGTCCTCAGCACCAGTAGCACCTCCAACTCCCGGGTCCGCAGCACCAGCAGCAGCTCCAACGCCAGGGTTCGCAACACCAGCCGCAGCCCCAACGCCCGGGTCCGCAGCACCAGCAGCAGCTCCAACGCCCGGGTCCGTAGCACTAGCAGCAGCCGGGTCCGTGAGACGAGGCGCACCACTCCAAAGTGTGCAACGGCGCTCGTACCACTCACGGATACGCTCACGAGAGGGGAGCTCCCGACTAGGAGGAGAAGTACCAGCACCAGTCCCAGCAGTGCGCCTGGTCCCAGAGGTACCTCTCCGGAGGCTGCAGTACTGTAAGTACCACTCACGCAATTGCTCCGAGGAGAGGTCTCGTCCAGGTGTTGTTATAGTCACAGTAGGCTCCAATGTGCCTAAAACGAAAGATAGAGTGCACAGTCGGATTTCTGCACAGCGGCTTCAAACGTTCATAGCGTTTTGGTCACAGCTTCAAATGACTTGATTCAACTTGGATCTGGAGCGCCTTATTGTCGCCTACAATAGGCAATTTAGATCGCACGATTTGACCAAGTATTGACGACACAGGGTTGGTTTGGACGAACGGCACTATGGCAGCCACTATGGTCTTAGAACACAAGATAGGAAGAGTTAGGAAGAGTTACGAGTTGGGGAATGACTCCCAGCTCCTACAAACCCCAAGAGCCGAGGTACAGTGATGTGGAACAGTGCCACACTGTCCCCAACCACGAAGGGTCTCGAAACTACCCTTCACTAGGGCCTACACCAAGTGAAATGTTACACTACACAAAGTAATGTAACTATCTTCAATATCTTGAGGTGTACCCTTTTGGCGAGCTTTGGAATCACTTGTGGATTGACACCAAGGCTCGGCTCTTCATCACAAACTCATCCTTGAGTTCTTGATGGGTCTGCTGCACACACCTGCGACACACCGAACGTTCGACACAGGACAAAAGAGAAACCGCGCACGACAAAATAGAAACCGCGCGCGAGACACAAACGACCGCGTAACACGCGTCTAGCGATAGCTCGCTATTGACTCGACACATACACTCGACATCATGACTCAACATTCACACACAATTATAAGCATTAAATATATATTATCCCATGCCCTCATACCATTCCATAGACACACACACATGCACGCACACGGACAACAAGCCGAGTGCAAACCATAGGGTTGCACCAACAAACTCCCCCTCGGATTGTTGGCCTTAGGATGTGTTGCTCTGTCAGTTCAGAGCCATCCCAGCCAGCTTGCAACACTTCCAATGCTGCTGCTCCACCAGCCTCTTGGTCATCTTGTCAGCCGGCTGCCCCGTGGTCTTCACGTAGCGCAACTCAACTTCACCCGCGGTTACCATGCTCCTCGTCCAATGCCACTTCACCCTCATGTGCTTCGTGAGTCCATGCAACACAGGGTTCTTAGCAAGAGCAATGGCACCCTGGCTGTCACAATACAGTGGGGTAGGTCCTTGCTGCTCCTCCCCCAATTCAGCCAACAAACGCCGCTGCCACACAATCTCCCGTACGGCACGGAAGAGTGCCATGTATTCGGACTCCACCGAGCTCAAAGCTTGGTCAACCTGCTTCTTGCTCTCCCAAGCAGTTGGGCCTCCACCAACACAGCATATGAAGCCTCCCACACTTGTCATGTCCTCTGGTTCTGATGCATATGAAGCATCCGAGTAGGCGGTGAGGAACAAACGCCCGGGTTCAACACCATCCGCGCCCTTTTGGCGCCTTTGTGCCGCCGCCGAGTATTGCAGCCCAACGGTCGCTGTTTGGCCAAGATACTTGGACACCCTCATTCCAGCTGCTACCTGCTCCTCATTAGGGCATTGCACAACCCTAGCCAGCTGCCCGGTAGCAAACGCGACGTCCGGTCGGGTGTTTACCGCCGCATACATGAGGCTGCCCACCAACGAGTGAAATCGGCGCCTCTCCTCTTCTCCAACGCTCTCCTCCTCTGGCCCCTTCACACACTTGAACCCAGAGGGAAAGGGAGTAGCCACATGACCTTCACTCTGGCCGAAGTTGGCAGCCAACGCCTCCAGGTACTTCCGTTGGTGCACTCGCATGCTCCGCTTCTCCACGTCTCGTTCGATGTGGAGCCCAAGGTAGAAGTTCACGTCACCAAGGGACTTGCACTTGAACTTGTCATGCAGCTTCAGCATCACCTCCTTCACAAGGTCAGAGGAG